AGTTAATTTTTTTAAGGGGCTTTTGAAAGGTGGTGGATGTTGAAGTGGAGCCCTGCTCTGATGTGCTGAGGGGCGTGAGCAGGGCTCCCCGAGCCCAAGAGCTGCTGGTGCACGTGTGCTGCCTGCAGAGAGGCTCCTCCACGGGCTGGGGGCTGTGGGGGCGACCACCCTACGCATCCCACTTACACCCTGCCCTCGCCAGGCTGTTGGCCATCAGCTGTCCCAGCGGCTGGACCGTCTGCAGAACGAGCTGGAGCCGATCAAGGCTATGCTTGGTACGTGGGACTGGCTGTTTTGGGGACTGTGGGACACCCCTGACCCAGATGACCCCCCCTGTAGCCGTAGCTGGAGCCTACGGCTCGGTGGGGATGGGGCTGGCTTCTGGTAGAGCAGGATCCCAGCTGCGGGCCCAGGGGTCTGGGGGTGAGGTGTTGGGGAGGGGCTGGACTCACGTTGCTTGCCTCCTGCCTGCGCGGGTCTGCACTGCCCCGTTAGAAACCATTGCCCGGATGGTGTCCTCCATGTGGGCTCAGCTCAGAGCAGCAGGTACGTTCCCTCAGTGCCCCCTCGCCCCTGGGAAGGCTGCAGGGATGCTCCGGTGATCCCTTGCCGGTGTGACCCAGGGCTCCCAGGTGGAAGGGACACGGCTGGTGGCCTTCCCCGTGGGGCTGGTGCTGAGCGCCGGGAGCAGGGGGGCTTTGATGCTGCCGCTGCTGCTCCCCAGGAATCCTTCCAGAAGATACAGGAGTGGAGGAGAGCGGAGATGCCAGGAGAGCCTGACAAGCTGGCACATGGGGGGGGACTCACAAGGGCCACTCGTCCGTCTGCTGTGCCAGCTACTTGTGGGGCTCTTGAATGAATGAATCTTTGCATCCCTTATATTTGAAATAAAGGTGTCCTTTTCTCCAGGGATGCTCGCTGTCTCCTGGGGTAGGGCCAGTGCCCGGTGCTGCCCACTCTTCTCCATAGGGCTGGCACCAGAGCTGCCCACTTCAGCCACTGAGTGCCGAGCAGGGCTTGGAGACAGTGGAGGGCACATCCCTGCCTGTGGCCAAGGGCAGCCACCCCAGGCAGGGGAGCAGGCTGCCTGTACGCTGGGGCAGCCAGGGATTGTCCCACTCTGCACTGGGGTGGCCCCACCTCGAGCACCATGGGCAGTTTTTGGGGCACCTCAATCTAAGGGCATTGAACCATTGGAGTGTGTCCAGAGGAAGGTCACTAAGATGGGTCACTGGGACTGTTTAGTATGAGGAAGAGGAGGCTGAGGGGAGACCTCATCACTCTCTACAACTACGTGAAAGGACACTGTAGAGAGGTTGGTGCTGGTCTCTTCTCACAGGTAATTAGTGACAGAACGAGAGGGAACGGCTTCAAGCTCCAACAGGGCAGGTTTAGACTGAACATTAGGAAGGAATTTTTCACCCAAAGAGTGGTCGGGCATTGGAACAGGCTGCCCAGGGAGGGGGGGGAGTCCCCATCCCTGGCTGTGTTTAAGGGCCGTTTAGATGCAGTGCTGAGGGACATGGTGTAGGGGAGGACTTTGTAGAGTAGGGGAGATGGTTGGACTCCATGATCCCAAGCGTCTCTTCCAACCTGAATGATTCTATGATTCTATGGTGAAAGGTCTGGAGGGCAAGGCTTGCAATGAGCAGCTGAGGTCACTTGGCTGGTTCAGCTTGGAGAAGAGAAGGCTGAGGGGTGCCCCCATGGCAGTCTGCACCCTCCACGAGGGGGGCAGCAGTGGGGAGGTGCTGAGCCCCTCTCTCTGGTGACCAGCACAGGACATGAGGAAATGGACTGAAGGTGCGTCAGGAGAAGTTCAGGTTGGAAATTAGGAAGAGGTTCTTCGCAGAGAGGGTGGTCAGTCCCTGGACCAGCAAAGTGGTCAGGGCACCAAGCCTGTCAGCGTTCAGGGACTGCCTGGACAACACATAGTCATATGGTTTAGGGCTGGGGAGTCCTGTGAGGAGCGGGGAACTGGGCTTTGATCCTTACACATCCCTTCCAACTTGAGATATTCTACCATGGGGGGGATGGGATGGGATGGCGATGGGATGGGATGGTGATGGGATCCCAAGGGCAGATTTGGATCTGCTTCTGCAGGGCTTTTGGCTCCCTTTCTGGGCTGGAGCCACCTCCTACCCTCCTTGGTGCTGCTTCTGTGTGCCCTGCCACTGTCTGCCTTCCTGCTGCTCCTGTTGGGAACGTGCCCTTGGCTCCTTCCGTGCCTCTGCCTCCTCCCATCCCTTGGCCCGTGCTGCTGGATCGGGGCCCTGAACGGCCCAGGGGAGCGCAGCAGACTGGGAGGTGAGGATGGGGCACTGGAAAGATGAACGCAGAGCTACGTGTGAGGTCTGGGAGCTTGGTGACCCGGTGCTGCTCCCTGCCTGAAACTGCTGTTGCAAGAGGGTTACTGGGAACATGGTGTCACCACCCCCCTGGCCACTCTGGGTCCTCAGCTTCTGTTTGGCTGGGGCATCCCCCCCCTGGAGCCCTGTTGTGCCCAGGGTGGTGCTGCCCGTGGTCCCTCAGGCAGCAGGCAGGGCCCTGCACGTCCCTGCCCGCTGCAGGTGGCCCAAAAAAGGAGCAGGAAGCGCCCAGGCGCCAACAGCGATGCTGCTGGGGCTTTCTGTGTTTTCATCTCGAGCTCGTTTCTTTCCTCTGGTGGGGAGCGTGCGGTCGGGGAGGGGAAGCAGCGTTGCTCAGCCAGGGCTCTCACTCATCTGCAGCGTGGGAGGGAAGTCTGCGTCACTGCCCGGCATCTGCGCTCGCAGGAGCCCGCCGTGCTCTTTCCATCACTCTGGGTCATTTCCCAGAGTGGAGCCTTTTTTGTCTCCTCGTTGCCTGCACCTCCCCCCGGGGGAGGGTGTGTGTGGGGGGGTGTTTGGGCAGGCACCCCACGCCAGGGCCTGTAGCACCCTGCTCCTGCCTGCCCGGCTGCACGGGGCTGGGAGCCTGGTGCCTTGCATCCTCGCCAGCGGTGCTGGAGCAGAGCCTGGCCTTCCATGCCAAGGGGGTTTTGGGGGGGACAAGGGGGGGTTGCCTCCCTCCCCGGCATCGCTGCCTGTCGAATGGGTGGCCGTGGCACGTGGAAGCCTGGATTGCTGGAAGCCTGGATTGCTGCCTCCCATGTCTCTTGGATGGTTTCTCCTCCGACGGGTGGTTCCCAACTGTTGCTCCCAGAGTGGTGGGGGCTGCAGTGTGTGTGTGTGGGGGGG